TTTTTTCTGATATCAGTATAACTGTGTCATCTTCCTTTCGGCTAATGTTTTTGCAACTTGCACTTTCAATGTTTCTGTATTCCTATAGACAGGCTAGCAACCTTCAGAGGGTTGCAGAATTGTCTAGTCTGATTACTGATTTACTTTTTTTAATGCAACATTTAGTTTTTAACATTTCATATAAAATGTGATATGCTGAAGTTTAAATTTATTATCCTATTTGTCTTCTACTTGTCCCATCTGTTCTCTGTATCTTTTTCTATTCTTTCTTGACTGTTATTTTTAGATGATCCAATTTTCACCTTCTATTATCTTACTAGTTACATTTCCTTGTGCTGTTCCTTTAGAAGTTACCCTAAGACTATAGACTAAACTCTTGCCTTATCATAGACTAAAATAAATTAGGACTATGGTACTTTCTGAATAAACCAAGGGCTTTAGAACATTTTAAGTCAATTTTCTCCGACCTACACACTACTGTTATGAGTTCTGATTATATATTTTTATACCCTACAAGAAATTAACTCTATTGATCTATACTCACATATTTACCTTTTCTAATTTCCAACTTTTCATTGAGAAACTTTTTCTATCTAAGGAATATCTCTTCCTTTTAAGTGAGGAGACTATTGGTGATGAATTATCTCAATTCATGTCTCCTAGCTTTACAATCCCTTAAATCCCCTACCATGACTAGTTATTTGTGATTGAGTGCCGGACATTGTTTATGAAAAATTACTGAACAACTATAGGCCTATGATAATGTTATCTTTCTCCGGAGAGAATTCACTTTTTCTTCTAAGTGACCAGAGGATCCAGCTAATCCAAACCATCTTAATCTCATCAGGAATGAAGTTTCAGTTACTAAGAAAAATAGTATATGTAGTGGGATAGAATCCTTTGGGTTGATAGGTCTTGATTTCCAATTTTATCACCATATTTACACAGGTATACCAAAGTTCTACTAAAGCTCACAGCCTGTTAGACTCCTCAAAAGAAGTAACCCTGTAACGAAATGACTCAAATGTTAGGCTCTCCTCTTGAATTTCCTTCTTCCAGACCTTGGCCCTATAATTTTGTTGTTGTTGTCATAATTTCCTTGTTATGTCTAGTTTTTTTCATTATTCTCAGCAGGAGGGGTGATCCAAATTAACAAGTCTTATATACCCACTCCTCTTCCTAAGAAAGAACCTTGCATATTTGAATAGAAAAGTGCTAGCTGCTACAGGCTTTCCACCAGGAATCCTTGCAACCAACCAACAAGTTTTTTGTTTTTGTTTTTTAAGACCAAGAAATCAACTGCGATTAACTGAGGCAACAGGGAGTCTTTAGGAAACTAGTATGCCTAAAAAATAAGGATTTTCAGAAGACTATTTGAGCCAAAAGAAGAGGCAACTCAAGAGAATGACAGAAATGGGAATGAAAAGAGGTCAGAAGCAAAATACAATACAATATTACATCAACTATGACTAACACCTGACAAGAAAAGAGTGAGAGATGGATATGAAATCTCAAACCTGAAGAAAAAACTAAATTGGGTGAAGAAGAATTTAGACTTAATCATAAATATCTTCTAGTAATAAACCAAGTTTAACAGGTAACTGAAGGTCCTGATTTGAGACCTCACCAACAGTATGGTGATTTCTAAGTTTCAACAGAATTTTCTAACTAATCAGAATACTATTTACTAAATTGCTAAAATGATATTCTCTCTATAATTACCTATTTACATTCATTTGTATATTGAAAAAATCAGAATTAGAAATCCAGAAACTTTGAAAAGGAAAAAAAAAATAAATACAGAATTTCATTATCACAATGACAGAGAAAAAAGTTAAGGTTAAAGGGAAAGGGAGAATGTTTAAAAAGAAGGCTGGGCTGAAGGTACAGCTCAGTGCATGGATGCTTACCCAGCACGCTTAAGACCCTGGGTTTGACCCCTGGCACCACCCACTCACCCACACACACAGTCAAAATAGCTGGGATTGTGGCTCAGTGGTAGAGTGTTCACCTAGCATGTGTGAGGCACTAGGTTCGATCCTCAGTGCCACATAAAAATAAATAAATAAAATAAAGGTATTGTGTCCATCTAGAACTAATACACACACACACACACACACACACACACACACATACATATATTTAAAAACAAAAAAAGTAAAAATATACTATATCACAGTTCAAGAAATCCAGCAATAAAGAAAAAGGTACAGATATACATTCAGTGAAATATAATAGTAAGGAAAATACTAAGTGGGTTTAGCTATTTGCCAAGGGTTTTATTAATTCTACAAAAATAACAAAAAATACTTTTTAAAGTTACTGAGGTGGTGGAAAAGTCACTCTTTCCAAGATGAAAGAAATATGATCTTTTAAAAAGAGGCACAAATTAGATTATACAGTCATTTAAAATATTTTAGTTCGATAAATAAACATAATCTATTAAAATCTCTGCAAACATAATATCTAGGTTTTAGATCAACACCAAAAATAACTAGGGAATATGGAACATTATTTCATATAATACTCTTCAGTATTTCCAACAGGATACATCTTTAGATATGATAAATAAGTCAACTGACAAACTATACAATCCAGCAGCTATTTTAAGATCCAACTCATTGATTTATAAACTCAACAACTAAAGCTCTGATTACCTGCCAAATGCAGCTCTATCCCATGCCTATGTTTTGGCTCTAAAAATTCATTTAAAAATCAGAGCTGCAAACAAAATGGCTCTACCCAAATATAACGTTTCATTTCTGACTCATGAGATCTGGCAAGTACTCCTGTTCTGTCCCCCATGAAAACTACCTTTAGTTTTCTATAAAACAGAGATGACACAGAGTAATAAAATGCTCAAGCATCTGAAGAACATAAAGATTAGCAATCACAGGACACTAATTATGCTGCTCTTTTCACTGGAACAGGTCAGACTTAGCTGCTGAGCATAAACATTTGCTGACTTATAGTTGTACCAGACACTTAAGGATAAAAAGAGAAACGAGATGGAGTCCCCACCCTCAAGGGGGGCCTGTGAAGCAGTATAAACTAAAAATTATAACATAATCATTGCCCTAATAGAGTTGTTATTTCCAAGATGCTACAGGGTTATAAACAAAGAAACACCAACTATTTGTTCTGGTCTGTTCAAGGAGAGTGCAAGAGTTCCAGGAAGGCTTCACATATAGGAATCAGAAGAAAAAAAAAAGCCTTACAACTTAGTGTAAAGGGACCACATATTTTAGTAAAGCTATTTGGTTTTAAAATTGAGAAAATTTACAAAACAATGTTAGCATGTTTAATCAAGAGGCACATAAGTGCTAAGTGGCAGAGTTGAGCTCTAGGTCTTCAGGTTTTGAACCATTCCTTCTTGCTATTTAATAATGATTACAGACTTCATAATCTTACAAAAAAGAGATAATTTTGAAGCTAGTTTTTTTTTTTTTTTTAAACAGGACTATACTGTTGAACTCAAAGTGGGACATACAGTGACTTAAAAAATAACTAAACTCCCCAAATCATGTTAACTTTACATTTAATAATACACTTGTTTTTTAAATACTAACATTAAAAGAGACATAACCCTTATCTAGTTTTAATCTTTAATAAGAACCATTCCTCTGCTAAAAATGATTTGGTTTCATAACATGCAAGGAAAACACACTCTGATACATAGATGACTAGAGTGTAACTTAGTAACACTTTAATGACCCTCTAGGTGGATGTGGTAAATGATGTTACTTACAAGACTAATAATTCACTGTAGCATTGTTAGTAATAAAACAACTAAATATTCATTATTTAGAGTGGTTAAATGAATTAAGGTACACAATAAAGTATGGAAGAGCAACCAGCTGAGATGAGCATTGTAGTAAAACACTGGAGAGATAACGTGACCAAAACCAGGAGATTGGCAAATGCCCAGAATAGTCAGAGTCCAGAGAGAGGTAAAAAGTAAATGGGTTTTGGCAATAACTTGGATTCAGGTGAGAATCCAGGGCCTGGGTGGTGTCAAGAATTAGCCAATCATTCAAAGTTTTAATGCACAGGTCTTGGGTTTCCTCTACAATTTATATGCAATGCCTAGGCACTAAATATATCTGTTAAATGAAGATTTTATATTTTCTACCAAACAATTTTACACTAGTAAGAAGAAAAGTATACATTTGACTAAAATAAAATTTAGCTCTGGTGATAATTTTTAAAAAGCTATTTAATACAACAACTGTTTGAAGTAAATAAGATACCTCAGACCACAAGGTAAGTGAGGAACATTATCCAAGTGAGAGTCTACCCCAGCACTTACCAGAAAATGTGCTTTATTTCACAATTGTTGGAGTAGTTCCTAGTTGTACAGCAATTCCTGATACTCTACTGCTAAAGGACTTTCTAGATATCATGTTATTTCTACTCCAGAACTAAAGTAGTATCTGACCCTGACTGACCTTCAAGCACTGGAAGCTATGCTGAGGCAGGCCAGTAAAGAGGAAAGGTGAGGACCAGAAGGCCAACCTCTTAAACTGAACATTTCCTACAGCCCTCTCACCCTAGAATGTAAGAACCAGCATGCTGTTTATTTACTACAGGAAGTTTATCAATAGTCAACTTCAGTTTTCACATTGGCAAGTAAAAGAAATTAGGCAAACTACTCGTAAAATAATAAAAGTTCCAGAAAAAAATATACAAACTATTGTGTACATTTATGCTATAAAAGTCACTAAACATTAAAGAGAAAAATAAGATTTTTATCTGAAAAAATGTTGACATAGTAATAACTGGGATCACTTAAGGTCTGAAATATACTCCATCTAAAAATATCTATAATTTACGTCATATTTTCAAAGAATCTACTCTAAAGATTTGATCAATAATCATCTAGGGAATATTTATAAATTTATATCATAAGAAAATGAACAAGATCCCAAATATTAAACAGTCTAATTTCAACCAGCTAGAAAAACCCAAAGAAACAAAAATCAACACAATCAGTTCTTTACCTGCAGCTCCTTTGAAACTCTCTCTAAGTGATTAGTTATCTTTTTAATCAGGTCACTATACATCTGTTCCGAGTGTTGCTGGCATACACACTTATACACACAACTGTAAAACCGAACAAAAAACCAAGTTAATGAAGATGCACTTAACTCAATCTAAGGTGAAAGAACATTTTTAATATATTACCACTAATCAAATAATTCAGATTTGAAACCAGTGACTGACCACAACTTTTAATAAAAATTTGCCCTCCCCAATCAATGTCTGGATGGAAAAGATATTACCACTAACTGCAAATAATCTTGAGTAGAGTGCATTCCAGCACTAGCTATTCCAATACTGGTGATGATCCAAGGGTCTGTATATGATAACTCCTTAAAAGTCAGGTTCTCTCTTGCTTTTTTTTTTTTTTTAAATAAATCAATCTCAAAATAAGGAAGAAAGCAATAATCAGTAGAAAGAAAGTGTCTAACTGACAAAAATGTCTGCAATATAATCTCTTTGTACATTAGTTGTGTGAAACAACATAGTTGTTATTTCTTCTTCCTGTCACTGTGCTGATTTTCCACACCAGACACTTCAGTCATTCTAGTCTCCTTGGAGACCTCCAGTTTCTTCATTATCTATGGTGGATGTAGCAGGCTGAGGTAGCAGAAGTCTTGATTTGAAAACCACTTTTGAATCAAAAAGTATAAATCAAACATCCAATCCACAAGTGTGGAATACATAAATACTTAAGAGTCTCACTTTGTGTATTTTATATATCACATGCTGTCATAACTCAAAGTTGCCCTGAACCTCAATAAACCCTTTCAAACCCAAGCAAATTAAATCTTGACTTACCTGTATATCTGTTCATAGGATATGGGGATATAGTCACCAGGACTCTGGGTTAAAAGTTGATCTATGGCACCATCCAATTTTGGCCAGTATGTGCTCTTATAATCTTCAATAGTTATAACATTCATTACTACAAGTAAAAAGTAAAATAAGTATTACTATGTGCCACATAAAATGAACACAAATCATAGCAATTTTGTACTCACAAATTCATTCTTTTATTAACTACCCATCACATTTCAATTAAAAGGGAAAAATACCTGGTCAGAGAAGTTAAGCAGCTACGAATCTGTCCATCTTTAAAAATAACAAAACAAGTATTACTGGTTTCTTTCCCAGTTTTCTGTACGCTTCTGCCATCAATGAAGTATTTTCAAACATGCTGACCCTTAAAAGACTTTGTCAATTATAAGTGGCCTATCAGTGAATCACAAGAAGGTTCTAGGAAACAATAAACAGCAACAATATTTATAGATATTCCTGGGAAAATCTACCTAATGATAGGACTACAGGTATTAAGGTCTAAATGCTAACAGTAATCAAAGAGGCTGCCAGAAAATGTGTTTAGCTTTATGGTGCTGCAAGTACCTTTTAGTTATCACCAGAACTCTAACTTGGGCTCTTACCATGTGCAACTTGACAAGCCCACCTGAAAACCTGTGTGTGTTCTGGAGCCTGACATCAAAGTCTTACCTTATTCCTTCAGACAGACTCATTCATTATAAAGCATTTGTAATAGCTGGTCTTAACAATTTTGAGATCCAGGGGTGACAACCGCTTCACAATGGAATGTGAATGCTAATATTAAATGGAACAATGGAAAGCTAATACTAAAAAAGAGCTACTTGAAGAATATGAGATAACCTGCGACATAGGAGCTTACAAACACTGAATCAGTATTTTGCTGTTTATTTCACCAGAAACTGGAGAGCAGAAAGGTTAGGTGGCTTCCCCCAAGAACACATGGTTAAGTACTGGCAGAAGTACCAAGTAAAGGAAAGTCTATCACATTAGTGACTTCCAACCTTGGTCATTCAGGTTCAAGATTTTTTTTTTTTTTTTTAGTTTTTGGCAAACACAACATCTTTCTTTGTATATGGTGCTGAGGATCGAACCTGGGCCACACGCATGCCAGGTGAGCGCACTACCGCTTGAGCCACTTCCCCAGCAAGATTTTTTTTAATCTATCAATTTTATTCATCTTTATTTAATATTTTCTTTAATCCAATTCAATTTCATCTTCACTTAACTTATTTTAAAGGACACTTGAGAAATGATCTACTGAATCATAAAACAATATAGTATAACCTTAAAAATATTTTTTTGGGTCTGGGAATGTAGCTCAGCAGTACAGCACCTGCTTAGCATATGTGAAGCCCTGGATTTATTCCCCAACACAGAAAAAAAAACAAAAAACATTTTCTTAAGTTAAAGAAGCCAGACCCAAAAGGATCCATATTTTGAATCCCACTTATATGACATTAATAAAGGCAAAACTATAGGAAGAAAAACATATTACTGATTCCCAAGGGCTGGGTGGTAAAGGATTATCTATAAAAAGGTATCATGGGGAAATTTTTAGGGCAATGAATTATTTTGTATGGAACTGTGGTATTAGATACCACATCCATGCATTTGTCAAAACCAACAACACTGTATGCCTAGTGAATTCACTGTCAAAAAAAAAAAAAAGAAGAAGAAGAAATCAACAAGGCTATACTAGTAAAAATGAAATCCCAACTGTGACCAAATAATTTACAAATCAGAACTCACAATGAAGAGAATGGAGAGGAAAAGAGTATTGGATTAAATGTAAAACTAAAGACAAAAAGAACTGTGTGCACATATGCACACACACACAACTAAGAGGCTGCCATATCACACAGGGCCTTCTGGATCACTTAAAAACTGAGTAAGATGGGAGCCTCTGGAGGGTGATCTGACGTACATTTTGTATGGGACCATTCCTGCTGCTGTGTTAAGAGTAAACTAATTTAGGAAGCTGTGATTTGGGGGAGAGGGTAGGGTTGGGGCCAAGTGGTGGCCTTGAAGATTATAGAGAAAAGTCAGATTCTGAATATATTTTATAGGCAAAGCCAGTAAGAATTGCTAACGGACTGGATGAGAAATCTAAAAGAACGTTCAAGGATAACTCCCAAGTTTTTGGCCTGAGCACCAAAAGTCAGGGCTGCTGTTTACTAAGAGGAGGAGCAGAAAAAGCTTAGCTTATCTGCAGGTGTAGCAGATGCTGCTGGTGCCTCACCCATTTACTATTATGGTATTGAGAGCCACAGCCGAAGGGGCCCCAGCAAACTTCCAGCTGCCAGCAAACTTCCAGCTGCCGGCTGATGATTGGCTCACAGCGGCCCCAGCAACATCTAGCTGATTGGCTCCTCGGCCCCAGCAACATCTAGCTGATTGGCTCCTCTGCAGTGATGCTCATTGGGCTGTTTCCCTGCCCTTTCAGACCACGGAGCTGCTCATTGGGGGACTTTTTTGGCTCCGCCCACGTGACCCAGCCAATCGGCCTCAAGAGCAGGAGGATTGTGGGAGGTGGAGAGAAGCTTGGGTGGGAGAGTCAGGCTTGTGGAAAGCCGGTGGTGGCAGTTGAGGCTCTGAGGGTTTTTCCTGAGAGGCTGTTTTGTTTGGCGTGTGTGGTTCTAAAAATAAAGTTAGTTTCTTTTGACAAGTGGCTCCTGATTGTGCCCAGCCAGACTGCGGCATTATGGTTTGATCTTAAATGTTCACCCAAACCTCATGAGTTGAAGAGTTGGACCCCAACATAGCAGTCTTCAGGGCTTTGGGGAGGTGACTGGATCATGAGGGCTCCAACCTGAGGAATGAATTTATGGATTCATAGCTTAATGGAGGGGGACTTTGTTATAAAAACAAACTCTTTGCTTCCCAGCTGCCATGTGATAAGCCGCTTTGTTCTATCACAAGCTTCTCACCATGATGTTCTGTCTTGCCAGAGGTCCAAAGCAATGGGGTCATGCAATCATGGACTGAAACCTCTGAACCTATAAGCCAAAATAAATCTTTCTCCCCTTTAGGTTGTTTTGCTCTGATATTTTGTCACAGCAACGGAAATCAACATACCCTTGTCCACAAAGGCCAACTGTCAACACCTACAATTACTTGCCTCAGTGTTCTGTCTAGCTGCCATAACTTGCTCTAGAGAGGAGAGAGGCAGGTTGGGAGCGGTAGAGAAGTAGCCATACTCTCCAGCTACTTTCAATCAATGGCTAATGAGGATTCAGCCTCATTACCTCAGTAGATCCCTCTGCTGTCAGGTGAGATAACTGAGACATGGATGCTATACTAATACCCAGAGTTCCCTACAGGGATTGGGCTCAGAGTGGTGACCGACTCTGCCAGCTTCCTTACCTTCTCTATCTCACTTCCTCAACTCCCTTACAAGTGCTTCCTGGTCTCATTACCTTGTACTTAAACTATTTGTGCTTTTTAAAAAAGAAAAAGGGGAAGGAAGGTCTCTTAAAAACAGAAAATCCACATTGCTTGCCATTAAACAGATGGCAATATACAAACAATACGATGTTGTCAAATTCTAGTGAGGTCCTGCTGCCTGTCAAGTGTTCTGAGCCTGAAGTTGGCTTTCCCTGTTAAAGAGATTGGCAGATGTTGAAAAGTGTTACACACTACATTTGTGCTCATGTAATCTAAAGGATTCAAAGAAAACTGAAAAGGAAATTATATTCTATGTGATACTGTTAGTGAATCACTTATCAGTATACCACCAAAAGCACACTCTACACCAAAAGCTGATACCTGAAGAACAGGAGTGTAATGCTCAAAGAGAAGGCTGCCAGTTCCACAAAGCCAAGACCCCACACACTAGTCCTTGGGCTCCTGGCCTGCTGAGCTCAACAAACCACACCACGTGGCCACAGGTGGGGAGTGCGCCTACTTCTCAAGCACAGGAGTCAGACCTCAACAAGTCACCGAGTCAAAGACATGAAGGAGGAGGAGAAAGGAACTAAAATATAAAGTCCTCTAGCTATTACAAGTGTGTGTGTGTGTGTGTAAATAATTAAAAAATAAAAATAAAAAATAAAAAAGTCCTCTAGCTATTGGGACAGAATGGAGACCAACTTTGAAAGCAGAAACCACTGATGCCACTCAGGTATCTTTCTTATTTTTTAAAGAAATTTGTATTTGATTTTTACTTATTTTTTTTTCCTTTTTTTTTTTTTTTTTTTTTGGTGGTGGTGCTGGGGACTGAACCCAGGGCCTTGTGCATGGGAGGCAAGCACTATACCAACTGAGCTATATTCCTAGCCCTGTTTGATTTTTTTTTAATGCTCTGCTTTTAAAAGGTCTTTGAAAAGGGGCATTTTTTAAAAAAAATGACGACAACCCAAGGAACATTAAAGAATCTTTAAGCCTCTTTCCACATACAGAAAAAAAAGAGTTACATCTATTTCCACACACATATATAATATGCACCTATTTTCAAATACATTTTATTTAAAAATCAGATGAAGAAGTCAATTCAGCTGGCCTCACATGCTAACAAATGTAACCTTTTTCTCAGGCCAGCCAATCCTCACCAGTGGCAAGAGAAGCAGAACTTGGGCGAGTATGGGCAGAGCCAGAGGAGGCCTGAAGAGTGAGTATAAGCTGGTCTAAGGAGGGCTCCTCACACACTCCTCGGTCCACATTTATGATGACAATGCAGGGAACTTTAAGATACTGGTTATTTCTTTGCTAATACCAACCCATTCCTGATTTAAAAAAACAAAAACCATCAGCAGTTTATTCAGTTTATTAGCAGTTTAAACACATAGCCTCATGTGTATAGGTATGCAGCCTTGAACTTATTAGATCTGCTGATTAAAGAAATGAAATCCCTTTAAACTTTCACCATTGAAAAAATGTGGACTGACCAGAAGAAACTACAGTCAAAATTCATGCAATAAACAAAACAACTAGTTTACCAATTTAAAAAGGCAACATGCAGTGCTATAGGACAGAGTGCAGACCACATTGAGAAATCTCAGAAGACTAACAAAGCCAAATAAATTAGACAATATTTTTCAATTTTCTGTCTTGATTTTAGTAGTTCAGCATTAAGTATATATTAGAAAACAAAAGCAAAAAAGAAAAATC